CGCACGGCGAACGATAAACACCCGGTGTCATAAAGGGAAACCATTCGGAAAAGAATCACCCAGGCACAAGTCCCCAAAAACCCCGTTCAACTCTTAGGTTGTATAAGGGCCTCCGACAAAAGCCGCGGTGTGGCTTTTGAAATAAGAACAAATTACATAATGGGACGACTTCAAACGTGAAACCAAGCGTTGTATAGAAGCGGCCGTTGTCTAGCAGCTAGATGCTAGCCTGCGGATCGGAAGGTCGTGGGTTCGGTTCCTGACGGGAGTCAGACGTTTTTCAAAATTGACTTCGGGTCCCAGGTCGACCCAGGCTTGAGAGGGTCCCAGGTATAGTCCGGGGAAGTAAAGGCGGCCGGCGCGATGCTGACCACATCACCCACCAACTGCGGTTTGGTCTATAAAATAAATGTCTAGCCCTATATATCCAATACGCATAAAAGGCGTAGCAGAGGGACCTTTACTTTAAGCGCTGTCGGCCGTAAGTGGCGCTAACTTCAGCTTGGAAGTTTACCATTCAGGATGTAATTTCTAGTTTTCCAATTTTGATTCTTCTGTTCATTTTTTTTAACATTTTATTTCATTCAGTATTTGTTACCAGTCATCTGACAGCCATGGAATCTCTCGCAAGAACACTCGAAGCCTCTAGTACAGGCTCGGAACCGCTGCTACTTTCGCCAAACGAATTAACCTTAGTACAATATACGCAAGGGGAGGCTATAAGCTGGCGAATTCAACGAAACGGATTATTTCCCCTAGACGATTTTGACACGATAATACAGTTGCATGATGGTTGCTCTTTTTAGATGAGTTCCTTGTCGTGTAACCTTGCAGATCTGAGTTGATGTTTCTTGTACTGCCAAGCTAGCTCCTGTTAAATGGATGAATATTTCTTCGGACAATCGACACTGTTGTTAGTGATTCATGGGACTAACTAAATGATTAATCATCATCATCATCCTTTGTGTCTCTTTATATGTCAAATAGGGCTCTATTTGATTCCTCCACTTCGCACTGTTGCACGCAACTCTCTCGACCATCTGCTTGTGCGGTCAAGTTCTGTCTGAATGCCCTTGACCACCTGCTCCTGTTATCTATTTTGACGGTACACTAAAAAATCATCAGCATATGATAGTGTCCTTCCCGATCCCATGATCTGCTCATCTGTGATTTTCATGGTGAAAATAATGAAAAGTATTAAGGATAAAGGTGAACCTTGCGGCATACCGGGGTGTATGGTTATTGGTTCAGATGCTCAACTACCGCATTTAAACACCACCTTCCGCTTGAACAGAGCCAAGGAAATCCATTTAATGAGGAACAGCTTGAGACTAAGATCAAGAAGCTGACCAAACAAGAAGTTAAATGGTACCTTGTTGCACGCATCCTCAATATCCATTACAGCCTCACAAGTTTCCCTGAGTAGAATCCCTCAAAAACATCATATCTAAAGATCGATGCACTCACCCAGGACTCTCTGTTTGAGGGATAACCTCCTAGGGTGGGTGAAAGGAGGCCTAACTGCTCAAGATGACATGATACTTTCTTGGTAACTATCTTTTCCAACAACTTGGCATCTGTTTTCTGCGTTGTGATTACATGGTAGCCCTGTATTGTTGTGTGGTCATTTACCAGATAACTATACAGTCACTCTTCATCGATTGTCACACTTTCAATACTGCTGATGTAGATACTCACCAGTTCCTCGGACTCTTTATCAGACAGCTGAGCAATATTTCCATAGCAGATGCCATCTGGACCCGATGCACTGTTTTTTTTTCCTGCCTGCCTTAACACAGCCTTGATTTCACTCATACGCACACAATCTTTTTTCCTCCATGTCGCCGGCTTTACAGATACCCGAATTATGTCTTCTGACAACTTGGCGCCTTATTGTGTCGTTTTCGTCACTCTGCTGAAGGTAGCGAGCGAGCAGTCGTCAATTCTGTGCTAAGTGAAGTCACATTCTGAAAGTCAGGAAAGCATTTGCTTTTAGATGCCTCTATTCATGCTTCAATGCAAGTGCCAGAACAATTTTAGTGATTCGCTTTGCACATCATCATGCAGAACTACGTCCCTTCTCATTTTTAGCAATTTTAGGGAGAGATTTCAACAGGAAGTCTTCTCATCCATGACTTGTTTCAACAGGAAGTCTTCTCATCCATGACTTGTTTCAACAGGAAGTCTTCTCATCCATGACTTGTTTCAACAGGAAGTCTTCTCATCCATGACTTGTTTCAACAGGAAGTCTTCTCATCCATGACTTGTTTCAAAAGGAAGTCTTCTCATCCATGACTTGTTTCAACAGGAAGTCTTCTCATCCATGACTTGTTTCAACAAGAAGTCTTCTCATCCATGACTTGTTTCAACAGGAAGTCTTCTCATCCATGACTTGTTTCAACATGAAGTCTTCTCATCCATGACTTGTTTCAACAGGAAGTCTTCTCATCCATGACTTGTTTCAACAGGAAGTCTTCTCATCCATGACTTGTTTCAACAGCTGAATGTGGTCAGGTAGAGCAGTTCTGCATTTTTTTCTCATACTGCCACTGTTTGACGGCTTGCCGCTTATCTATTCGAGCTTTCTGCACCTGGTCATTCCACCTGGGGTGGGGTTTGGGGGGGGGGGGGGGAGTTGAAACAAGTTTTTTTTTCCTGATGGTGTGTGTTTTTCGCTTCTTACACCGGATTGTACCAAAGAAGTTGTGCCCTGTAGTGTCGTACCTAAAGGTTTTCACCTTGGGTTTATGATTCCTTGACCTGCCTTTCTCCAGCAGGAAAGATGATCCCTGTCATGCCGCATTAGGACACTCTATCGACATACGGACAGGAGCGGAGGTGATACCAATGTCAGGTCAATAGCATTGCCTTCGTCCCTTGGTCGGCTTGCCAGTCTGGTGACACAGTCGTTGTTGATGCATACAAGGTTGCTGGACTCAAGCGCATCATCGAGCTTTTCTCCATGAGTGTTGGAAAAAATATTTTCCGACAACTTGCCTTTAGCATTGAAATCTTCACATAATTTAGTGTTCTCTTCTTGAGAGATAATCATTGTCACTGACATTGTTAAAGTTAACATATGCACAGGCAACACCTGTGAAATGAGATGCCTGAGGAGAGCCGCCAACTTAACCAGCCAAGACAAAGTGAGAAACAATACTAACAGACAGACGGCGGGAACAACATTATGCGCCAAATTCATTTACAAACCGAAAATGAAATGATTTGGTCATCTAGTAAGAATGCAGCTAGAGCAACTACCACCGATGGTGCTACATAGGAAAGGGTCTAATGTGAAATCAAGAGGTCGCCCTATGAGAAATTGATTGATGTCATCAGAGAGCTTTTGCATGGACACCGAATGGCAGCAGCGCTCTGCTCCTATTCAGCAACATATCTCCAACTGTTCCTCCCCACGACGCTTAACGGCAAAATTAGAAATCGATGATGATGAAGATTGAGGCGGAGTTGACCACTAAGCCTGTGGTTACCGACCATTTCGTCGTGAGGGAAATTTTTTAGAATACATTACTCTGGAGGAGTTCCTTAGTCATTGAGGCTCTGCGAGCACAGGTTGGGAAGCGCTGGTCGGAAATTTTTTAGAATACATTACTCTGGAGGAGCTCCTTAGTCATTGAGGCTCTGCGAGCACAGGTTGGGAAGCGTTGGTCTGGGACATTTTTTGGAATACATTACTCTGGAGGAGTTCCTCAGTCATTGAGGTTCTGCGAGCACAGGTTGGGAAGCGCTGGTCTGCGAGATTTTTGCTGTCAATGTTAAGTCTGGAAGAAAGATCGCTGAAACACGCTGTGATCAGTATTGTAGCGGAAATAGTGCGTATTGCGACAGCAGTAATCCGATTTGGAATGTAATTAATCTGTATTGATTCGTTTTAATTATGTACAGGATTTAAAATCGAGATTAACTACAGTTATAAGGACTGTAGCTACATGAACCATGGAGGTCAAGCAGTGAGAGCGCTTGTAATAAAAGTCAAAGTTGTGAGTTCAATCACTGGTGAATCTTTCTTAAGTATTACTATCTTCCTTCGGGTTGTTGATTGCTGCAAACATCACCAGCCTTCATTCATCACAAGTGGATACGGGATTACCCTTACAGATCTGCTGTCGACAGTGCCATAAACATGAGCACTCCATTTCATATGAGAATATGAGATGATGATGATGATGATGATGATGATAATGATGATGATGATGATGAAGAAGAAGAAAAAGCAGAAGAAGAAGAAGAAGAAGAAGAAGAAGAAAAAGAAAGAAAGAAAGAAAGAAAGAAAGAAGAAGAAAAGGAAGAAGAAGAAGAAGAGGAAGAAGAAAAAGAAAGAAAGAAAGAAAGAAAGAAGAATAAGAAGAAGAAGAAGAAGAAGAAGAAGAAGAAGAAGAGAAGAAGAAGAAGAAGAAGAAGAAGAAGAAGAAGAAGAAGAGAAGAAGAAGAAGAAGAAGAAGAAGAAGAAGAAGAAGAAGAAGAAGAGAAGAAGGAAGAAGAAGAAAGAAAAGAAAGAAAGAAAAGAAAGAAAGAAAGAAAGAAAGAAAGAAAGAAAGAAAGAAAGAAAGAAAAGAAAGAAAGAAAGAAAGAAAGAAAGAAAGAAAGAAAGAAAGAAAGAAAGAAAGAAAGAAAGAAAGAAAGAAAGAAAGAAAGAAGAAGACGAAGAAAAAGAAGAAGAAGAAGAAGAAGAAGAAGAAGAAGAAGAAGAAGAAGAAGAAGAAGAAGAAGAAGAAGAAGAAGAAGAAGAAGAAGAAGAAGAAGAAGAAGAAGAAGAAGAAGAAAGAAAGAAAGAAGAAAGAAAGAAAGAAAGAAAGAAAGAAAGAAAAGAAGAAGAAGAAGAAGAAGAAGAAGAAGAAGAAGAAGAAGAAGAAGAAGAAGAAGAAGAAGAAGAAGAAGAAAAGGAAGAAGAAGCGGAAACGTGTATGAAAAAGCGAGGCTTGAGAAAATACAAAACACAACGACAACAGGTTAACCAATCAAAGAACGACAACTGGCACCTGAAACTCCAACAGCCGTGTGCGGGATCTGTAAGGGTAGCAACATTTGTTCTTCTTGCAGTTGGTGCAGAACTTCAGGTTGTAATCTTTGACCGATAAACAATCCTGGTACTGGATGTGGAAGCGTCTGCTGCTTCGTGTGGTCGGCGTGCACTTCTCGCGACCCTGGGGAGGCCATGTATTTCAGACACGTTTTTGTTTTGTTTTTGTTTGTTATGCATAAATATTTATTTAAATATCGCCGTGGTGTAGCGGCTAAACACTCGCCTAGGAATCGGAATATCGACGGTTCGGGTCCTGGTGGGGGAGAATTTTCGGGCCGCGTTAGCGCAGTCGATAGGAGACTCACTTTCAAATCAAGCGGCGAGTAGCTGCAGCCTACTGCCCGAGTTCGAAACCAGGCGGTTCCCGGGGTCCACCCAGTCTCTAGGTAATGGATACCAGAGCTAACACTCTAGGGTAAATGAAGGAACGTCGCTGTAGCTACGGAGTTGTGTGCAGACGGCGACACAGGCGGACAGTTTCTTGTCAGCTGTCCGTACTGGTGGCAGAGCACTTGTGGTTTATAGCCCTGTACAATGACGCTGGTTCACATCTCCCGATTTTGCCTTAACCGTGTTTTAGTGCATAAAAATAATCTACTTTTGTTGTCTCACTGACACCAAGTTGTAGCCCAGCGTCGTTTTTCTGTATTTCTCTTGTGCTCTGCATCTCAGGTGGTTTGGGTGATGGTTTTATTCATCTTTATGCAAGTTTTAGTTACACAATCTATCTATATCATTCTTGGTCTTCCCTTCGTCCTTCTCCCCGAGATTCTGCAGTACAAAGCCAATATTATACAGTTTGGTCTGGCTGCATTCACACTAGATGATCTAGCCATTTTATTCTTTGTCAATATAGTCCAGACATAGTCTTCTTCGAAATGTCTCTCTTATTCTGGTATTCATAACCCTTTCTCTCTCTCCTTTAAAAAAAATCAGAATACGAATAATAGTTTCTCCAAACCATAATTCTATTTGTTTGTTGCTTTGCGTACACCAGCTGGGAACCCCAGTTCTTCTTCTTGTTCACCGGCTGTGAATTCCGGTGGTAAGTCGCGGTTGTTCGTCCAAATGGACTTTTGGCTTTTACCTTGACCTGAGCTTTGCGTGTACATCCGTTTTACTGGCTTATTTGTTTGCAGTTCTCGTTCCCCGCCTCTCCGGCAGATGTACTCCGACTTCAAGGGAAATGGGAACCCCAGTAAAAAGTCCTTTTCTGGTCTTATTTCCAGGACCTGAGCTTTGCGTGTGCATCCATTTTATATATCTTGCTTTTTAGTATGCAGACTGTTGGTTCCGTGCCTCAGGCGTATGTACTACGACTCCGAAGAAAGCCCCTAATTAGCCGACTCTTACGACATGCTTATTGGGGAGGCAGGGGTCTAATCTTGTTTTCCCTCATAATGGGACCCCGAAACCCACACGGGAAAGAATTCTCTTTAAAACGTATTTCTTCTCTTGTGGGTTCCTTTGTCTACATTCTGGAGAACAAAGCCTACTGAGTGAGCACCTAACTATCATGCCTTAGGAAGCGGTGTTTTCAGGGGTGAAACAGGGGTATTTTCTTTAAATTCAAAGCGTATCTGCCTGAGAGACAAGGAACCATCAGTATGAGTATAAATACACCAGATCTGTAAAAATGATTTGCAGGCTAAACTCAAGTTGCGAATCAAACTCAAAGTCCAGGAATGCACGAACAACCACAACTTTCTGCCAAAATTTATAGCCCGTGAACGTTAAAAAAAAAAAACCCACACAATTCACGTCTGGCTTCCTAAACCCATTTTATTGTGCGGAAAACAATACACACACAGCCTTCTAACAAGCATGTTTAGCCACTACAATCTCCTTCTAACAAACATGTTTAGCTACTACAATCTCCTTCTAACAAGCATGTTTAGCCACTACAATCTCCTTCTAACAAGCATGTTTAGCCTTTACAATCTCCTTCTAACGAGCATGTTCAGCTACTACAATCTCCTTCTAACAAACATGTTTAGCTACTACAATCCCCTTCTAACAAACATGTTTAGCTACTACAATCTCCTTCTAACAAACATGTTTAGCCACTACAATCTCCTTCTAACAAACATGTTTAGCTACTACAATCTCCTTCTAACAAACATGTTTAGCTACTACAATCTCCTTCTAACAAACATGTTTAGCCACTACAATCTCCTTCTATCAAACATGTTTAGCCACTACAATCTCCTTCTATCAAACATGTTTAGCCACTACAATCTCCTTCTATCAAACATGTTTAGCCACTACAATCTCCTTCTATCAAACATGTTTAGCCACTACAATCTCCTTCTAACAAACATGTTTAGCCACTACAATCTCCTTCTATCAAACATGTTTAGCCACTACAATCTCCTTCTATCAAACATGTTTAGCCACTACAATCTCCTTCTATCAAACATGTTTAGCCACTACAATCTCCTTCTAACAAACATGTTTAGCCACTACAATCTCCTTCTAACAAACATGTTTAGCTACTACAATCTCCTTCTAACAAACATGTTTAGCCACTACAATCTCGCGGCTCTATTCTTCTCGGTAATCATACTTGTCATTAAAGAGTTACTTTTTAGCAACTCAGTATCAACTACGTGTTTCCTTCGCGAAATAGTATGTGTGATAATTTTGTTTATGATATATTTATCAACATTAGGGAGTGTTCTTCATCTTTGTTCACAGGCTGAAAGCTTTGGTAGAAAGGCAAGGTTGTTCGTATATTTGGACTTTGGTTTTGTGCCAGGGACTGAGTTTTGCGTGTACATCCGTGTTACTGGCTTGTGAGCTAGTTGTTCCTTGTCACTCGGAAATGTGCAATGCGACATCGAATAAAGTCCCCAATTTGTCGACTCCTACGACATGCTTGTTGGGGAGGCAGTCGGTCTTTTCCTGTTGTCCCCACAACGGGGCGGCGGAACTCACACGGGGAAATCTTTTTGAAATTAATGCCTAAATGAGTCTTTTTCCCCTTTAAATATCTGCCGACAAGTCAGATCCGACCTCATAGGACTCGAGACATTCCCATAATCGCTCAGTCTTCATCTCCAGCAGCCAGCGTAGATCTATAGTTCCGATGGCAGCACCAGCAGTCTCAATGCATGTTCATCTGACCTTTCCTTTGCGTACTGAGTGTTGGCCAGATCTCCTTGTTCGCTTTCCGCTGCACAATTCTCTTGAAGTCTTGATGATCTTTTTATGTTTCAGCACTGCTGACTGTCTCCAGAAATAGCACTGATAACAATCTGTTTGTGATGCAGCAATTTACCACCAAGTGTTAAAGAGCCAGCCAGTCTGTCTGCCTGTTCATTTCCTAACGCACCTCCACTTCCTGGAGAAAAAAAAATTATATATATCCAAAGTGTCGGCATCTGTGGCTAAGTCGATGCGAATGCTCCGTAATGCCAGGGTGCTGGGTTTGATCCCAGTTGCGGGCCACGCGCCTTGCGTTGGTTTCGACAGTGGTAACAGGGGGCCGATCGTCCAGAAAGCAATGGCAAACTACTGGACGTAAATTTGCCTAGCGATACCACACAACAGCCCGGGGCTGCTGGGGTTGATTCTGCAACGTCCTGTAAAGGATACGTAACAAACCTATATCCAAAGTATGCTAATTACTCGTGACCTCAGACGTGATACTTGTTATTATGCACGGAGTTACGACTGTCTCTGGCTGGAGAAGGGACGGAGATGACCTGTCTCCATCTTCCTCATGAAATGAGTTGCTAGGGAATCAATCACTGGTCTCACGAACACTTACCAGGGTATCAAGGCTCATCCCGCACGGCCGCAGGTAGCAGAGTTGCAGCTCCTGGAAGCTGTTGCAGGTCATGGGGTCAACGACGATCCTGATGGACACGCCCACGTCACACGTGACTGAACATGGCGTCCAGTCTGTGGTTTTCTTATAGCAGGCTTGGAAAGAGGAAGCTGTCGAGTAGGCCGGCTCTTCCAGTAAAGCTGACGTAGATGTTTGATCTAGAAAAACATTTTCACATTTCGGAACTATTAAAATTGAAAAACTGTTTTCAGTATTCTTTGGCATAAATACTCAAAATTTTAAAACAATAAATGGTGGTCCAAATCACGTTGTGTATGGAAGCTCGCTCTCCTTCGAGAGACGCCTAGCCAGATCAAAGGTAGACAGAACAAACAGGAAACACCAAGATAGAAGAAGGAAGACAGGCACCAGTGACAACAGGACGAGCGGTTTGATTCGGATGGAAGCCTCAAGCCCAGAAATGGCACAAAAACTAAAATTCAGTCACGAAAGTGACGCTAATAAACCAGACCACAAATTTAGGCGGAGACTGTTAGCAGCCTAGGCTAGCTAGCAGCAGTCTGAACGTGGTCGAGATTTTCTTTTTTTCTTCTCAAAAGGACTTGGACTTGGACTTGATTTGGAAAAAAAAAAGGTGATATAATTAAAAAATAAACAAAGAAACATTCTTGTTAGTCTGAACAATGGGGGTTGGCTACAATGTGTCCAATTATTATTATTATTAGTATTATTATTTCTCCGTGACATAGCGGCTAGACGCTCGCCTTCGGATCGGAAGGTAACGGGTTCGGGTCTCGACTGAGAGGGAATTTTTTCAAAAATGACTTTGGGTCCCAGGTCGACCCAGCCTTGAGTAGGTACAAGGTGCGGTCCCGGAAAGTAAAGGCGACCTGCGAGACACTGGCTACATCATCCACTGAGTGTCGATGGGTCGATAAAATACAGGTCTATGCATATATGCCCAATCGTCCTAAATGCATGAAAATGGTTCTTTACTTTACTTAATATTATTAATGCGTACTCAAACTAGGCTTAATATTCTTAATTTCCAAGATCACTTGGTGGCGGCTTGCCTACCCTAAGACACTTGGTGTCAATGCTTGCAGTTCAAAGGGGGCGTAATATCAAAATATTACTGACTTCATCAGATCAAAGGGGTGAACATTTGTAACCGAAAAGAAACAAAATCACCAGGTGTGTTTCACTGTTTTCTTGAGTCTTTTTCTACATGTCTATCTTATCTTCTTCCCTCTTGCTATCTTTTACGCACACATAAAGATACACCTACCCCCTCCACCCCTTTTCCACACACACACACACACACACACACACACATCCACACACACACACATACACACACACACACATACACACACATCCACACACACACACCCCCCCCCCACACACACACCCACACACACACACACACACACCCCACCCCCCCACACACACACACACACACACACACACACACACACACACACCCACACACACACACACACACACACTCACACACACATACACAGTACAACACAGTAAAGTGTGGTTTGCCTAGTTAATATGCGAAAATCCAACATAAGTAGTTAGTACAGGCAGGTCCTGTTAACATGTACCATCAATGGTTGTATTTAGTTTCAAACTGGTTTTATCTTAGGTATTACATAATAATATTTACGATGTTAGTAGTAATAATATCATTATTATTATTTAAAATAATCATAACACTAGATAAAGACGCCTGAACAGACGTCTTGATAAAAACGAAGTCACAAACTGAACTGACTACAGATGAATGCATGAAAAGAAGATTATGTATTGAGTTTAATTAAGCTGATTCAAACACCGGCATCATAGCAATAGAGGCATTCCTATAAGCACTTCGTCCCCATCTTCAGCAGCCAGCGCAGAATTTCAATGTCAATGGTAGCAGTAGCTGTCTGATTGTATGAATATCTTGATTTTCCTTATTCTTAGTCGAGGTTTCAGCTTCACTGCAATCGGGTTTCCCCATACTTGCTCCGTTACTGTGCCAGTGCAAATCGAATGAAATGTCACTCTCTTTCCTATCTGGAAAAACTAGTGAAGAAACAGTAAGTCCCGGAAGAATCCAGAAATAGGCGCACACAGTACATGAATGCGGCAGTTGCTAGAGGCGCCAAAGCCAACAGTCGTCACCAGAAACGTAGTGTGTCGATGATGGAAGTAGTCAGGCACGATACGTTGGCGATACACACATAGAACCACCACATAAGGTATTCACCAGCTCACATGTAAACCGGCTACAATTCCACTGAACGTCGTGTATCAGCCAATTTCCCTTGTCATTCTTCGCTGCATTACTCTCACCAGACTATAATGATCTGTTTGCTCTTTCGAATTGTACACGTGCTCTCGTAAGGCATTGATCACGGCTGCCTCATCATGCATCAGTATTCCGCCAAGTTGTGAAGAGCCACAAGCACTTCTTTTGCCTCTGGACGCAAAACAGTCACCTGAGCGAGTATTATCCTGAACTGACTGCTGAATTTTCACCTCAGTGAAACCTGCTGGCAACTCCCTGCACTCCCGGCTCAGTGTGATTATGACTCTACATAAGTCTGACAGTTCTGCTGGCCCTCTGCACTTTTATCCTCGCCTAATTTTCCGCAGGATACAAACCTGTGTCCTTGGGTCTTCTGCCTGAGCCACTCATGACTTCCCTTTTATCAGCCTCAGACTCTTAACTGCATCCAGCGTTTCGTGCAAAGGGCAATCTGTCTGCAGCTACTCCGAGTTATGACTTTACATACAGCACCTTCACTTACCTGCAACAGTCGGCAGGCCAAGGATATATCGCAAAGACACATCACCGGGATGTCTCTGGCCACTATAACGTTTAAAATGGCTAAGATACCTCAGCGTTTAGGACAAGATGCTGTTTATGAGCCAGTTCGCCTTGATGCTCAGATTGTATAGGATATCTGTGTTTTTCGTTTTCTTCCACGGTATTCTAGGAATTTAGCATGGACTTAACTATGCATTATTTCTGTAGGAAAATATTTTATTTCAAGGAGACCTCAAAGGGAAGTAAGTTTAAAAGTTTGCCAGTCTGGAATGGGAGACCAACATAACATGAACAACGTTCGGAATTTACAGCCTGGGAACTCGAAAAAGAAGAACCATATGTTATCTATCCATTCACAAAATCAAATTAGTCATTCATACATTCTTTCTCATTCTTTCAGTTCCGCCCATTCCTCTATCCACACTTTAAACTTGAAATCAATAAATGTCTTTCTTGGTAACCTCCCTTGATCTGGGCTAACCGGATCAGGTTGAGGCCATATCCGTTCAACGACAATCCAATATGGCGTCGAAAATACAGTTACATCCGGGCACCTTAAGTCAACAAGGCAGGGGATACAAACACAAGTGTGGAATAGGAAGCTACGAGGGTGGACAAAGTGCCAGAAAAAATCGTTGCTAACTGCGTTAGGTTGGCCGAAACTGACAGCCGAGCGGTTAATATCATTATTCTGGGTGAGACATTTTTTAAAACAAAGAAATTTAATTATAAAATGTGTGTATTTGAAGAAGACAGAACTTCTTGTTTATAAATACAAAATAGATGTTTGTTTGTTTCCTTCTTATGCTTCTTGTTCTTTCCCATCCTCCAATTCTTCT